AAAGGTATTTCTGAAGTAATTTCTATGTATTTAATTTATCATGAGTAGTAACAAAACTAGATTTTGGGTTTGGTGTGATTTTGAGCCTTACTCTTTGCTTTATTAGGAGAAAACCTCATTTTTACTGTTAAAATTTGTAAATAATACACTGTTTATGTGCTTGTATTTGTCATAATGATATTTTAGTAGCCATGACTAATAGCTTCAACAAATTAAACTACACCTGTGGAATACTTTGCCCCAGCCAGAGATGCTTTGGTGCATCTCTGATAGATGCTCAGTCCATGGTTAACATTATTTCTTACAATAGTATTAGTATGTCAGACCTAAAGCTCCCATTATGGGGCAAGAAAAAAATGCTACAAGTGAAGATCTTTCCCCTGTAAATCATTTAACCTAAACAGAAGATTTAAGCAGATGAAGTAGAGATAATGTAGGAGAAATAATAGAGTGAGAAGATTTTTCTAAGGTTGCTGTGGATCAGTAGTACAGAGCTTTTGTATTTGTGATCCTAGTGAAATCCTTGGTACAGTCTTTGTAAAGTCAATCATTCAGAAATCAGCAGTGATATAAAACTGTATGCATTAAATTTACAATTAATAATGTTGATTCTGATTGCTGTACAGTAGTAAGCATTTTTCCAGAAAGCACTTTGCTGATCTGCTTCATACTGATTGGTGTTATTTTACTGTGTTTGAGAGAAGGGATTTTTTAGTAATTCCAGGCAGTAGCTTTGTGGAAGTCTCAGTATTGAGTCTTTATGAATGAGCACTTCTTAAAGTGCTGACACTGAGAATAATTCTATTTCTCTCATCAGAAAGGGACAAAACAGAGAAGTTCTGGACTTTGAGTTGGATTTGAGTTTTTTTTATAATTCATTAATAAATGAATTTGGATCACCAAATAAAATACATTTACACAAATTTGATTTCCTGACCGTATTTTACCAAATTCTGCATGTAGCCAAAATACAGGAGAAAAGAAAAGGTAAGAAGAGCTGTGACTGGTGACTTATTTCCCTTTGAGATTTGGGAATGGGGTCACATTTGTCACTCAATTTCCTGTCGATATTTTTGTGGCTTCCTGACTTTATTATTTTTAAAGAAAAATTTAATGCAGTGATGCCTATGATTAATGAAATAGTTTTAATGTCTCATAGGAGACATATACAGGGATAAGGCCTAACACATCTTCCTAGCTGCCTGAAAATGATGTTATATATTTTGAGATGTTAATGATGTTATCCAGTCCATCCATATTATAGGAAATTCAGTAGAGGATAAATAAATTTGAAAATAATGAGAGCTGTTCCTATTTAAATATAATTTTAAAGGACCAGTAAATTGTCCTTTCTTTCTCCCTGCACTGTATGTAATGAATTAAATCTCTTTTCTAAAAATGCTGGTATTAGAGTGGCTAAGGATGAGAAAAAAAAGTGTATTTGCTCTGCAATTACAGGAATTACATGGTTTACTGTCTAAGTACCATTCCACATCATGGTAATTGTAATGATATTAAATAGCTGAGTGTCATCATACAAGGAACACAAGTCATTGCCACAGTTCCACATATCATAACTCTTAAATATAATTGCTATATAATCTTTAGGTGATTGGATTATCATGCAGACCCTTGTGCATGCTTCCAGCACAGCTATGCATAAAAAAAAGCTGCTTAATCAAAGATGACTGCTGTTTCTTTTTATAATTGAATTATTTTCAAAACATGGCAATTCAGGGCCAGGCTTTGAGAAAATGTGCTACTTTTATTCAGTTTTATAAAGTGCGTGATATGAATTTGCCTCAATGAATAATATGAAGAACACATATGCATAGCTGCTACAGTGGCTGAGGTGCAAAAGGGATACTTGCCTTTTCATGAGCAACATTTGGTGAGTCCCCAAACCAACAGAAGTTCAATTATTGCCCTGATCAGCTTTGGATCATGTGCCTGACTGTTAAGGTAACTTTTGCAGATGTTACAAAGTGGTACCAGCTGGCCTTGGGGGAAAGATGATACACCATATACGGGTTCCTCTAACCATCAGAAAGCAAATTTAACAGATGTTAATGGGAGAGAATCTCTGACATTGTATATGAAATAACATTTTTTATTATATATCTTTGTCATGAAGGTTGCTTAAGCTGCAATGTCCATCTATATTCTTGCATTTGTAGAATTTGTTAAAGGCAGTTGTATGTAGCTTTGAAAGAGGATAATCTGTACAGCAAATTTGCTTTACATGGAAATATGATTTTTGTGATAATTGAGTGACTTTCATGTATTCATTTTTCTATAAACAGCTTTCAGGCTTTTCTAACTTATTTTCTAAAAGTAGACACAAAAATCTCAAGAAGGTATTTCTTGCATCTCTTGGCAGCTTGCAAGGCAAAAAGAGAAGCTGATACAATCTCTGTCACAATATTTTTCTACCCGTTTTCTTTGTTTCTTCAAAACAAATTCCAGGAGTAAATAAATTACTTGAGTTCTGAGCATATACAAGATAACACCACCTCTGAAATCACAGAGTGTTGCTTCTAAATACAGATTCAGAATATGAACCAGGGTGGCCTAATTTCTGGGAGCAACATCTGCTTCTGTGACCAAGAAAATGTATCCTCATTGCGTGCTGATAACTTGCTAATTGATTTCTTGTATCACAAATAAAACATTCTGATACTTAATTTTGAGTTAATTCACATTCTTGGAATTTGTCATTTGGAATAACCAGATTACACTGAGAGTTTTAGTTGCACTTAAAGCTTAGTAAGTATTTATTATTTGAATGTATATTGTAAAGTGTGTTTTCTGAAGAAAAGTGGTGCTTCTAATATATATTGCTGCATTCTGACATACATGAATTGGGTATTTTATACTCATAAATATGGGATGTTACTGTCAATTTGTAATGCACAAGTTTTATGTAACGAATAAAATGTTTTCCTCATTTAGATGGCGTTAACGATAAGGAGGTCAACGTTTAGTTCATCAAGAGTCTTTGCAAGTTTAGGAGGATTTAGGGCTACGTTCAAGTTATATGGTTGTAATCTGTTTCATTGCAGATTGCAACTGCTAACAACAAATCTGACACCCGTGGGTCCAAGTGCCTTAGTTCTTTTCCAATCAGAATCCGCTATGAACGGAGGCCGCACGATTATAGTGCAAAGAGCATCCCTGTCTATGTGTCTCTTCTTTTTCATGGCAAGAAGAGTCTAGAACTGATGTTTCCAGTTATGTGATGCAAGTAATGACAGGATTGGAAAGTATACATGTCATGGGTTATTTCTAGCCTGGCAATTAAGGGTGAGGGAATGCTGTGGAAGACTCACAAATAGTTTGATAGAATTTGAAGCAGTAGTTGGAACTTAAAATTTTTTAAAAATAAAGTCTTCCCTTTGATCTTCTTTCCACAGACGTGGTAATGGGTCCATGTGATCCATTAAAAAGTTTATGCATTTAAAAAAAAATAGTATTTGTCATTGGTAAGAGCCTTCAAATCTTTCTGTGACTATTACCCATATGTTTTATGATAATCAGCTTCTTCTGATTGAAATATGTTAAAAAAAACCATTAATGTGAAACCAAAATGCATTGCATATGCCTATTAATCTTTTAGAAAGGAGAGGAACAGCATCTGACATCAGAAAATTTGCTAGGCTCTTTCTGCAGGTAACTAGCAACAAGACAAGAGGGCATGGCCTGAAGTTGCACCAGGTGAGGTTAGGTTTGATATCAGGAAACACTTCCTCATGGAGAGGATGATCATACATTGGAATGGACTGCCCAGGGAAGTGGTGGAGTCACTGTCCCTGTATGTTCCTGTATGAAAGGCTGGATGTGGCACCTAGAGCCATGGTCTAGCCAATGTGGTAGTGGTAGGTCATAGGCTGGACTTCATGATCTCGGAGGTCATGTCCAGCCTCAGTAATTCTGTGATTCTGTGATAATAGTGAAAACAAGTTAGGAATTTTTAAAGGCTGCAAGGAGTCACTGAAAAAAAGACCACAGAAATAGGCAAAAATCAGATGTAGTTAAAGAATATATGATAAGGTGCCATCCTTAATTTCATTCAGAGGATGAGACGAGTGGTATGAATATGGTATGCCTATAAGAAATGTGAATGTTTTTTAAGAATATGGGTGAGAAATACTTTTTTCTTTTAGAAGTGAACATTTTTATTATTTCCTTTTTAAGATTTTTGCTTAGTGACTATTAAAATTGTCAGTTGTGAATACTGAGGATGAAATGCTTGTTCAAATAGTAGCTAAGTTACTGGTTAAGTATTTTATAAGGGGGATTTCTTGAACAAATCTGTGTAAATTTTTAGAGATCAGTATATGTTTACAATCTGATACTGAGCTTCACTTAAAAGACTCAATACTCAGCAGAAGTACATCTGTTGAATGGAATCAGGTTCTGCAGGTATTTTTACTGTGGATTAACCTCCAGAAAACTGTGGCTCATTCTTTAGAGTTGAGATTAAGTCATGAAAATAAGACAACTTGAAATTTTGTAATGTCATCATGCAACATTTATATGAATATTGGTATGACTGTAAATGATAATGAATACATCTCTCAATTCCCACATTTTGAACAAAATCAAACCTGGAACAAAAAATATCCAAAGATATAGATTGTTTTTCCTTCTCAAAATTAGTTAGAGATAACAACTTACCAAGTTTTCCATACAAAACTGAATTAGACAAGGCTAATGCATACATACAGTTTGAGGAATCTGTTAAACTTGGTAGGCAATTTCTTTGGGTCCATGTTTTACCATTTACAGTCTTTATTTCCTGTGGATTGAATTTTTGTTCTGCCTGGTTCCTACTTTTTATAGTTTTTAATTATGGTCAAGAGAAAGTAGTTTACAATGCATATCACACTTGCACACTTTTTATTCTGTTCAGGTGCAATCTACATATGGCATGTCTGTTTTTTCAGTGCTCACAAGATATATAATCACTCATCAACAATATTATTTGATTTTTCCTTTAGGGGCTGATGTTATCAATTTTGATGGCCATGTAGTGTTACCATACAGATTCAGGAACAAGAAAATGAAAACACTGAAAGATGTCATCTCTCTGAAATTTAAGACCTCTGAAAGCGAAGGTGTAATCTTCCATGGAGAAGGACAGCAAGGAGATTATATCACCTTGGAACTGAAGAAAGCCAAACTTGTTCTAAATTTAAATTTAGGTATGCTTCGATTGTGTACTTCCGTGAGCTTTTAACTCTCTCACAAAAGCTTTAAGTCAAATGTTACATCCTTTTTCCCCAGTAATGTGGTAAACCACATCATTTAATCAGATAACTCGGTGGAAATGTTCATTCCCTTTCTTCATTTTTTTCTGTTTCATTCCTTCCTTTTTACTCTGTGTGAGATATCATCAAAATAAGATTGTACAGAAAAACAGGTTCAGCGATGTATTAATTAGAAATGTGCCACAACCAAAAGAAGCCTCGCTAGAATCATATTTGGCCTTAGCTGTGTCATTTTGTGAGAGAAGGACACTGTCATGAGTGCTACAGGAATTGCAGCTAAAAATGCATCAAGCTGGACGCCAGAGGACACATTAAGCTTAGGTTCAGCA